CTTCAACCTCCAGACAGAAATCTCCCCAGATTGAACCCTAGTTCCCAAGCCAGCCAGCCACAACACCATGAATTGCTTAGGGAGGGGCCAGCCTCATCTTCTTGAACTTCCCACACTCCTGTTGGGGGCTAAGAACACACTTATCTCCCTGAGCCTGGCCTCCATTCCATCACAGTATCTGAACTCTACACAATTTTTTTATTGTAGTCTTGTTCTAGTCTCACCCAAGCAGCCTTGGGGTTTACCACTTAGAAGCCAAGTATGGCCTTCAATTTGAGGACCTCTGGTCTAGCTTAAGTAGCTTACAGCGAAGATACTACCTACAAACAAACAAAGCAAAATGACAGCAATGCCGGATGACAAAATACTCACCAGCTATAAAAAGCTAAACGTTTCATTAACCAAGCATTAAGCTTTTTGCATATCTCCAGAGAAGATGGAGGAGGAGGAGGAGGAGGAGGAGGAGGAGAGGAAGAAGGAGAAGGAGAATGAAGCAGCTGAGAAAGTTAGATCAGTAAAAAAAAATCTATCCACTTTATTATCAATCTTCATGTCATGCTCACTTCTTAAGAATCCACAGATGAAGTATGATCCCAGGAGAGCTCTACTAGAACTATACGATTAATAATACTCTAGATTTTGTCATTTGTCTGTAGCTTTTCCCATTTTACATGGCTGTAATTCTTTTTTATTCTTTCCAATCCAACAGAATGTCAGACAGAAATTATGTAAAGGGGTTTAGGTTTTTGACTCCCTGTTCATCTGCCTCTCTCTAGCAGAAGGCAACTCTCTGAAAATAGAATGGAATGGGATCAATTTTGGCATGACGAGAAACCAGCAAAACAAAGGTCAAGTTGGATATAGGCCTGATATAGCCAGGAGCAATGGAGGAAAAAAAATCCCCCAACTCATCCCTATAGTAGGGCCAACAGCTTAAAATGCAGCTGATTGCTCCATTTTAGTCTCTCCCTCACGCCTGGTCAAATAAACTGGGAATTGGAAATTCCAAAAAGCATGATACACTTTCTCTACCTGGTTTAATGCAAGCTACTTTACTTTTATTCTTTGGTATTATATTGCATGGTGAACATGATTTAAACACATTTATTATCAGTCTTCATGTCATGCTCACTTCTTAAGAATCCACAGATGAGGTGTGATCCCAAGAGAGCTCTACTAGAGTATTAGAGTATTAGAGTACTAATAATACTCTAGATTTTGATGATTTCCTGTATTAGCTCTTTGTAAAAATGGAGGTTTTCATGTGAATTTCAGTAGATTTTTTTTTCAGATGTTTATGTATGTATGTGTGTATGAGTGCATGTGCATGTGAAGTCATGTATTTTTGATCAGGGCCAGTTGCATGCTAACAGATTTTGTTTGTTTGATGCTAGCATTCATGTTTGACTATAGCCACTGGATCTGAATTGTAAATATTCCACCCAAACAGTCAAAGCCAACAAAGTGATGCAGAAAGCGCTCACTCTTTTCTGCCTCTCATTGTCAACTGGGTCTTGGCAGCCCAGATCTGATAGCCTTAAAGTTGGTAGATTTGATCCATTGGAGTTTTCTCTCCAGGGAATCTGTGTTGGGATACTTTTATATCACTAGTTAAAAATTTTGCCAGTGGTTAGAGTCTGCACTAGACCAAAAATGCTGCTAGGAGGAATGACTCAAGAAGCATGACTACCTTGAAAGGACATAATCACTCTTGCCCTTAATTGGACAAATGGCACAAAGGAAAATAGTTGTCTCAGCCTCTTCTTCATGGTCTGTTCTTCTAGATTAAGTCATCAACATCTCAAGGGCTCTCCACACTGTACAATCACTCATGGTTCTCAACCCAAGTATGAAGCACCACTACTGCAGCTCAGTATCATTTGCTCTACTTTGTTTGATGTAGTCATTAGAGTAACAATAAACAATAAACTGAACTATTTTCTTTAATAACATCTAAATAATTTATTAAAGGCCTAGAACATTGGCACTGCTGTCATGACTATAAAATAATTTTAGCCATCTAGAATAAATGTATTACATCGATCAGTTATTTCCTCAGCACAGAACAGAAAAATATTGCAAGAGCATTTACCAGATTATTCCATATCTGTGTGATGTTTTCTCAAGTGTTAGGACATAAATTATACTTCATGTTGCCATTCATTCGCTGTAACCCACTAACAGTGAGAAGGAATGAGGACTCATTTATTTACAGTGGCTGCGGATGGATATCATGCATGCATGCAGATCTAGATCTGGTGGTAGAGAAATAATGATGATCACAGAAGAATGTATCAGTTATGGCTCACCAAAGAAATAAGCAGAGAATACAAGTAATGTTATTATAGTGTAATTAACAGGAGATTATGTGTATTTTACAGGTATCATGGCACTGGGTTGACAGTGAAAGTAGAAAGGTTAAATTAAAAGAAGAGCAAACAGAAAAGAAGATCTAGATTCCAAGGGAAGACATCATAAAGAATGCTTTTCACTAATCTTCACTAATTCGGCTGATGGTTAAACAGCCCCCCCCCCCCCCCCCCCCCCCCCCC